ATTTGATAAAGTTTAATAGTAATCATAATTCTATTATTTGAAATCAATTCTTATCCAAATTTCTTATATTACAGTGTTTTTAAATTCTAGTTTCATACAAACTCAATTAAATTTCAACTATAAATACTGTAGGAATTTTCATTATTTCATCATAGAAAATAAAGAGAGTCATGGTAGAGAGAGAATGAGAGGAAAAATATAGAAAAATAGAAGATTTTTTACATGCAAGATTTTATTTTTTTCAACATTCAAAATCAAGGTGAGATACTTTTGTGCAAGTGGTTTCTCCATTTATACTTTTATATTCAATAATTTATGTATGAATTGTCATGGACATTCAGGTTCTTTATTAAGAGATATGAAATCTTTTGAGAATTTGATATGATCTAAGATGAATGTGTTGATTGGTCACCGATATACTCCACAAGAGAAAAATGGTATGAATTGTTTATTTTATTGCTACATAATTGTGTATGAAAACTGCATGTATCTTACTAGGTATTTTTAAATACTCATTCTTACAAAATTTTACAAGTTAATTTGGGTCTATTAAAATTGTGGCGGGATAGTAATGCGAACTACAAAAAGAATTTGAAAAAATAAAAACATTAAGTGTTTTTTATCTCCTAGTTTATTAAATTGTTTATTTGTTTAAATGCACGTTTATTAATTAGTTAACTAATTACATTTAATTTTTTAGAAATTTTAGATTCCGAGTTTTAGTTGATATTTATTGTCAAAAATAAAGTTATATTTTTATTTGTATTGTTTTCGCTTTTAACGTAAAGAAAATTTAATTTTTGGTAATACTCCAGTATTTAGGAAATTTTGAGATGTTACAGGTGAGGTGGTTGAGTGTGGTGCTGGCGAGGTATTGCTAGCGATGTTGGTGCGACGAGGTGGTGCTAGCGATGGTGGCGTCGACGATTTGGTGGCAGTAGTGAACGGCCAGAGAGAAGAGAGAATGTAGGATAGAAAGAGGAGAGAAAATGGAGAGAATGAAAATGATTAGGGTTTTGGCGGGTGTGGTTTGGATAGAATGAATGTGTATATTTAATGTTGTAATATAATTATTAATATTTAAAATTTTAATTATCATCTGATTTTGTAAATAAAAACTTATAAATCTTCATTTTGAAATAAAAAGTTTAAAATTGTGAGCTGTAATTTCCGCTATCTAGAATCTCATAAAATATAGTAACCATAGTCCTACCTCTCCAAATTAATATCTCATTAATAATCTCTGACATTTAATAAAATTTCATGAGAATGAGCCGTGTCATGTAGACATTATTTAATATTTTACGTTATTTAATAATTATCACAAATATCAAAAAAATAAATAAAGGAAAATAATGTTTTCATTAGATAATATGGCTATTATCAGGGGCAGACTGAGACCATTTGTCTTGTGGGGTAAAAAATGAGAATTCAAAAATGTTTAGTAAAAAAAAAAAACTCATATAGGAAAACTCATAAAAAAAAAAAATAAAAAAAATTGTGGGGTCATTTGAACCCACGTGACCCCATGTGGGTCCGCCCATGACTGTTATTGAAATGTGTAGCTCGGAGACTCTATGAGCTACAATGTGGCTATGATTTGAAATATCTAGAAGAGAAATATATGAGTGACTTGCAACGTTAGACAAAAGGAAATCATCATCCATATTTCTATGACTTCCTCTTCATGAGGTCTTTTATATGATGCGATTATTATGAGATCTTCATCCTATATTTCCTAATGGACAATTTGTTGCTACTCTTCTTAATTTAGGAGGGCATTAGTAGATATTAAGATGATATTAACAACTATGTATGAAATAGTTTTCTTAACTAGATTTTTTTTACAAAGTAATAACCACAATTATTAATAAATTATTGTGTAATTAATCGTATAAATTTAGCCCCTATTTGTGTACCATTATTCCAAAAGGAACAATGCTAGATTTACAGAAAAAAATTTGTCAGAACATTGCCAGATACACACATACATGGGCCCACATTTTTTTTTTTTTGCAATATTTTACTCACATGGGGACCCACCCCATGTGAGTATCTGGTAGCTTTTTGGCAAAAAGGGTTCTGTACATATGCCTTTTTCCTTCTAAAAAATTGTTTGTTACAGTAAGATTATCCACCACACATTCACCCAATAAAATATTCTAGACACAAACAAATAAATTTACTTTGAATTTCAACTACACATTCTCTAAAAAATACAATTCATTATTCTATTTTTCTCCCAATAATGAGAGACAAACACACTCTTAGAAAGACCAGATTGTATATAAAATGATAAAAACTAACTAAACAAACACGACAACAACCCATACAATGTACCTAAACATTTGAAGAGAGGCGTGGCAAATAAAAATTCTCTATCTATGATGGTGATGGTCAAGTTGGAATAATCATCTCTAGCATTTTCCTTGTCCATTGCTATTTAAAAATAGTCAATTGTGGCCAACTTTCGAAGCGTGATTAGCACATTGTGATATTTCGTCATTGTTTGGTCCACATTTTGGAGAATTCATAAATTCTAGAATAATGATTGATAGAAGAACGTGTGGTTGAAAAATAATGAAAAGTTTTAGATTTGTGTGTAATATTATTTAATTTGAAAAATGTGTGGTTAAAATTAAGAAAGAGAAAAATTTTAAAATTTTTAATGGGGCCAAAGATGGGCATATTTATATAATTTAAAACGTAAGAAAAAGCTCAAAAATTAAGTACAAAAAGTCTTCGAAGAGTGATACAAAGAAAATTTCAAAGAATTCTTTTTTTCTTAATTTAAAATACAATCAACTTTTTCATCCAATATTTTCCTTCACATCATATTATCTTGATTTCTTCGCCAGTATAACCAACCTATTTTTTTTTGGGTCATGACTCAACTTTCAAAATGCAAACTCTAGAGAAGATTAATAACAGACTCATTATTGGAGTTCGAACGATGATGATATTTAGAAAAAAACTATCGAATTAAATGAAATTGTAATATAGAATGGATTTTTACTCCTCCGAGAGGTAGGTAACACTTTATTTCAGTATTCTAAGAAACTTATCGATTTAGATATTGGTAATAACAATATAGTCCACCTGAAAGGGTGGTTACAAGAATCAAAATTTGAATTTATTACAAATTAGGAAAAAAAAAAATTTGCCCTAGTTGAATTCAACTTTTATCTCATTTCCCATTTTTGCCTAACTTTTATCTTTCGACACAACATAAGCCATATCTTGAACCTTTTATTTTTTGCCACCAAGAATGAAAATCGTCAATAAAATTTGTTAAATTATAAGGTCTCCCTTATTATCGTCCCCAGAACAAAATACACAATATAGAATATCACTCTAAATGATGATAGAGGCGGTTCGACTTGATCTTTTAATCATTTGATCTCGACTCGTGTCCAAATTCTTGACTTCATTCAACCCTTTGCCTCGTGGGCTACTCGTTTTTTTGAAAAAGTTAATAAAATAAGATAAAAGCAAATAAATTTTTTTAAAAAAGAAATTAATAAAGTAAATAAAAAAAAACTATCAAAATATAGTCAAATCACAAGCCTGCTCGTGGATAAGAAATTGAGCTCGATTAAGTCCATGCCTCATCTCGAATTGAGTTTTATATGAGTCGGTTCGAGTAGAGTCTATTAATCAGCAAGTTGTTTGATCTGTTTGCCATCCCTAGATGATAAAAAGAAAAAAAATGATTATATATGTTTCTTTTTGGTAAAAGTCAATACCATCGTACTCTTATCGGTCACCGCTTATTAATCTCTTCTCCATGTTGGAAAAAAAAAAAGTAAAATAAATCTCCAATTGCTTCCCAGCTGGATCTAAACAGTTGCAGAGGTTTCCATCCCAAATTAAGTTAAATGAACATAATGCTTGACATAATGGTTGATCGACCTCTCACATTGCATGTGGGTCCCAACTTGAATTAAATAATGTCGACCTCCCCCATGTATGTGTTGTGTCATTCTCTATGTGAAGCATTATGTTTGTATAAAAAAACTCACCCTGACCCCACCCTCTACCAAACCCTACGCCCACATGCCCCATTGTCCTTAACCTCCTCAGCCGCTTTTTTAAGAGTAGATTCCAATTTACCTTTCTTTACTCCACGGACCACAGGTTTCTGTTTCTGTTTTTGATTTTTTTTTTTTTCAATTTTTTTTAGCAATTTACCAGATGCTTTTTTGCTCTATAAAATCAGACCCGAATAAATATCAAATATCCCCTTCTCCTCTTTCTCTCCTCTCTTAATTACTTTTTAATCTCACTCTGCCCCCCTCTTGATTTTCAGTTCCAAGGGATTTTTCATCCTTATTTGGATCCAAACCCCCAAGTTGTTACATTATTATGAATCTTGATTAGTTAGGTTCAGGTTTAGCGCAGAAATTTTTCTTCAGCTTCATTGTAATTAAGGATCTGGGGTGTTATTTTAAGCTAATCTTGATGCTTACTTTATTGTTTTTTGTCTTTGAAATTGATGTCTGCAATTCTAAGTGAGCTTTTTCTTTATGGGTTTATGATAAATTCTACATATAGGCGCAGGACCCATTTAGTTCAATCTTTCTCTGTTGTTTTCCTTTACTGGTTCTATTACATTTCATGATTGTGTAATCACTTTTATGATTATAATTGATAAGTAGCCTATATATCTATAAACTTCTATCCATATAATTAGTATATATTAATATAGCTTTATTTCTATCTGGGGCCTGCTTAGTTTGCTGTCTTTAAGTCCGATATTTCTTGAATTTTGATCAATTCTGTAAGGTTTCTGTTCAATTGTGGGGTAGCCTAATTATACTACGCATCTGTGTCATCGAACCCAGTTCGGCTTTCAAAATAAGGTCGAGTGGGGTGAACATCCGGAAATTTGTGTGCATTTGGATCAACTTACTTTGGTGAACAGAACCACTGTAAATCTGTGTTGATTTGTTTATTTTCTTCGCGTAAGTTGGGATTAGAACTTGATCTGTAACAGTTTCATGGCTTCATCTAGTGGGACATCATCAGGTTCATCTGGGCTTCAGAGCTCAGGTTCTGAAGATCTTCAGAAATTGATGGATCAGAGAAAGAGAAAGAGAATGATTTCGAACCGGGAATCTGCACGACGATCCCGGCTGCGAAAACAGAAGCAACTGGATGATCTAATGGCACAAGAGGCTAAATTTAGGAAGGAAAATAATCAGTTTATCTCAAGAATAAATGTCATCACTCAGCATTATCTCAACATTGAGGCTGATAATTCAATTCTCAGAGCTCAAGTGGCTGAACTAAACCACAGACTGCAATCTCTCAATGAAATCACAAGTTTCTTGAATGCTAACAATGGTGGTTTTGGCATTGAGGAGAATCATTCAATTGCAGATTCTGCTTATAATAACTTTACGAACCAATCATGCAATTTTCACTTTGTTAATCAGCAGCCTATCGTGGGTATGCCAGATTTCTTGCAGTATTGATTTGCGCAATTTTTTGGCTTGTTCTGTAAGTTGGACCTGACAATGTAAAGAATCAGTATTGTGCATTAAACATGTCACTTGGAGACGAGGGGTGAAAACTAGTTCTATTCAGTACTGTGCATAAGATTTTTCATTGGTAGAATTTAACATTATTACTAGAAGTTTGAAGAACCAATGAAATTGGAGGGATGTTGACTTCTAGTTATTCAAGAACTTGTAATTGGCTCCCTATATTATGTAATAATATGTCTGTACTTTTTCATTTTTGTTGACAAAAAATTGTTAAAAGTAGGGGTGGGCGCGGGTCGGTTCGGTTCGGTTCGGTTCGGTTTTTTTCGGTTCCAAAAATTTTCGGGTATTTAGTAAATGGACCCGTCGGTTCCAAATATAATTTTGGAACCATTCGGTTTCGGTTCGGTTCG